GACTGCGGAGGACAAGGAGATCCAGCGGATAAACGAGCACCCTTACAGGAAGGGCTCGGGCTCGGGCTCGGGCTCGGCGCTGAGCGGCCGCGAGTCCCGCGTGCCCGACTCGGGCGTCCCGCGGGACTCGGACCAGCTCTCCTGCGTGTCCGGGGACACCGACGGGGTGGGGGACAGGGATGGCGGAGAGGGCGGTGGCGCAGCCTGCGTTCAAGGTCAGGTGGCACCCCAGCCGCTGAAGAAGAGAGAGGGCAGAGCGGACGTGCTGGCCGAGGCCAGCAAAGGGCCCGCCTCCACCCCAGGCGACCCAGAAGCAAGGCGTGCGGCTCGTTCAGCACAGAGACCCTCGGGCGGTGGCGAGAGAGGCAGCTGTCGCTGGGATTACCTCCTCAGTTGGGAGCCCAGGTTCCAGCCTCTTGCCTCGGTGTTTAATGATATTGCGAAACTGAAGGACGAACATTTACATAAACCTGGAATTCCCAAAGAGAAGAAATCTTTTATCCTCCCGCCCCCTTTGATAACAGCGGTAGCCCAACCCGGGATTAAAGCAGTGCCACCGAGAATGCCAGCCGTCACCCCAGGGCAGGCACTTCAGAAGTACCCGCAGTCCCCCCTTCTCTACCATCTCAGTTCTCTGCCTGAGGCCATGACCCCCAGTTTTTCTCCATCCCTTTCCCTATTGACAACACAGACCCCGGCCACGACTCCGCTGCTGTCGCCTGGAGATTTCTTAGGAACACGTCTAAGTGACACCTGCCGTGAACTTAAAGCAGAGGACGAAGTTCAACTATAAGCTGGTTGTGATGTCAAGCGCCTGCTCGCCATTGGGCGCGAATGACTGAACGGGACATTCTTAAGCAAGTTGCTCGAGATCGGGCTCATTTTATCTACAAGGGAGTGATATCATTTAGTCAGGGTTTTTAGAACCTCCTCATTTCAGTTACTCAGATTTCTTACAGCCTTAATGAGAAGTTATCCCTTCTTTCAACCTTTATAATTTGCTCTCAGGACTCGTTTGTATATATTAAGTAGTATATATTCTGTCCTGCCTGGTTTTCTGTATGATTAGATTTCCAAAGGACACAGTGAACTTGACTGACTGCCAACATGTTCATATGAAAATGAATGGAAATGAAGTACAGGTGCAGTCACCCAGTCGCATTACTGCTGATTACATAGTAATTTGGAAGGATAGACTTAAGGTTTAACGTGAAGCAATTTTCTGTAGATCTGATGTGTTTAGAGATGCATTTCTTCACTTTTGCCATCGGCCACACTTGTGGAGTTTAGCCATAATTTGAATTTTAATGTGGTGTCTTTTGGAAATTTAATCAGAAAATAAGAATTAAATTTGTCATAACTCTGTGCCAAATAAGAAAACTATTCTCGATTGAATGAACCAGAACTGTTTGTTCTTGACAGAGGGCCAGGGTTGATAAAAGCAGTAAGTGTGTGGCTGGCTGTCACCTGAGACACGTTTCCTTGACCTTCTTTACAAATAGAACGATGATTTTTTTTTTTTCAATGTTCTGTCTTGTAACATCGTACGGGTACAGACATTAAAGTTTGAAGATTAACTCATAGATTTTTAAAATTTTCTTCTAGATATAGTAACTTTTGGAGATAAATAATTTATCCATTCAATGTCAGTTTAAAAAGTTTACGTAGATAAAATTATGTTATTAGCTAATAATAATTTTTATAGAGTAATTTAGCAATATATTTTCCAATGAAGATTTTTTTACATAAATATTTCTACTATAAAAGTTAAGAATGGATGTCAGAAGTTTTTCTTCCATTGGTTCATGTTGAGCTTTAACCGACATTAGATGGAGCAGTTTGGCAACACAGTTAAAATAATTCTGTTTGTATGGCTCCTGTTTCAGAAATACAGTGGTGCTGGGTGGTGCTCACAGATGATGCTATATCCCCTTCTCTGGTGAACCTGAGAGTCCATCCAAAGTTCTTATCTGTTCCAGGAAAGCAGAGCACTTCCTGCTGCTGCTGAGGGACCGGAGGGCATCCATGGTAGGCAACAGTCTTTAGAGTAAGAGTTTAGGATTCTCATGGACATCTCGTACGGTTTTCTTGGTGGTTAGTGTGAGTGTCTGCTATAGAAGTATTTCCTTTATGTTTTTTTCAGCAGGCCTTGTCTGTAAAATTATGTGAGATAATTCATTTCTCTTTACTGAAAAACATTGCAGAATGCTGTGTTTGACCCAATTTTGTAGGTAAATAATTCTAGGCTTTCTAAGCTGATTTGATCAATTATGTATCTTTGCTGACTCTTACATTGAGAACAAGTGTATAAAACCACATTAGAAATTGTATGAAGCATGAAGGTTTTTGGTCAAGTCTGGAATCCTAGGGAACGTCATTTAGGCATGGGATACTTAAAGGACAGTGTATGCCTCTCCTTTTTTCCATGGCACTTGAGGAAGAAGACTTCATGGTTTTTGTAAAAACAATTAATTAATTATTCTAGTGTTCCAATATTTATTCTCTCTTTGACTTCCTTCAAAAGATCACATTGAGCCTATGAAGAAATGTTATACTGATTTTTTTCTTGAATTATAGATGGAAGTTGTGTTTTGCAACAGAATTATTCCTAGGAACCAAGAACATTTTGTTGTTTTTAATTAAACAGGTTCTTTATGTACTTATGCTTAAAAAGAGATACTCATCTAACTCTTCCTTAAGTTATTTGCCTGTGATTTATTACTCCTTCTGGACAGGATTCTGCATTTTTTAGGCATTTAATAAAGACAGAAGACAAGAAGTCTTTAGAGCCATTCCTTACCAATATCTAGTGGATTTTTCATTGATGACTTTATTAATACTGTATCCAGCACCACACCACCACCAAACAAATGCTGTGAGTGGGGTTAAGGGTAAAAATGTAAACATGCTGGCTAAGTGTTCGCAGTAAATCATATGTCAGCCCTTTCAACCAGAGTGCTTTTTTCCCTAAATAAACAATATAATTTGTATAGTTTTCCTTCAAGTTTAATATTAACTCACCTCATATGTTCTGTGTTACTTTGCTGATCTACACACCAGCTTTAGCACTCTGGAGGGGGTACAGAACTTGTTAGTGGAAAATCATATTAAGCCCCAAATTCATAAGCTATAAAATAAAAGACAGTTGTCTCTTGTGGAATTTTGGCTGCCTGAAATTCTGGACTTTCTTGTTGGCAGCCTTCAAAATACTGGTGTAAATTAGTACCAAATGGATATCAAAATTCCATGTCTTAGTAGTAATCATTGAATTGGCTTCCAAAACAGATTCCTGGGCAAAAAAAGGGGGAAATGCTGTATCTTCGGGGATTGGATCATTTAACTGTTCTCTAAAAATATTAAAATGCACTATAAATTGCTGGCTGCCTACATGTATACATACTTAGTCTAGAATAAATGTCCAGTTGAGACAGGAGTTGCATTTCTCAGCACCTTTACCTTCAATTTCAGTGACCTCTTCGCTGTGTGTTCTAGAATTTATAGTGATGAAAGTTAATTACTAATTTTCAACTTACTTACATCCAAACATATGTTTCGGTACATTTGTTTTGCTTTGCCATTTTGCACATTTTTAAATTTTCACTAAGAATAAAAGCAAGACATAAGTAAAAGGATCTAAGATGATCGTTTACTTCAAAGCCATGAAGTATACGGAGAGAATGTGGTTAGTGGATTTGCACAGGATTATTATGGATAAGCTCATTGGGTTTATTTTTACAGCATGTTTCAGTTGAGCTGAAAAGTATAGAGCCGTCTGCTTGGTTGTAACTGAGGAGAGGCAGTATGGAAAATCGCCCTGTTCAAGAGGGACACTGTGACCAGAGGAAGCCTTGCTTATGGCCAAACCCGGCATTCCCGGGTGAGCCACTGAAGGAAGGTAGCTTCCCCCTTCAGAGAGATGGAGGGAGAGAAGGAGGGACGAGAAAATAGAAGATTAAACCTGAAAAGGAATAGTTTAGGGCACTGGTAGGGAAATGCAATAAGAGAAAAGATAAGGACTTGTAAAAAATAATTTTTAAATGTAAAGATTTTGCTGAGTCATTTCCCCATTATAGGTTCATCCTGTTAAGGAATCTCTTTTTTTTTTAGGAATCTTTTTTCTCCTTCCATTCTGTTCCTTGCAAGTCTCTATTTCCATTGCTCCATTGTCTGAAAGCTTAGGTTTATCAAGTTGTGAACCTAAAGCTAAGCAACAATGAAATAAATTTGACTATGAAAACTTGAATTTCTTTTTGGTGAATTAAAGAATAAAATATATGGAATGATTACCTTGCCTTATTTCCAACTCTACGTAACTTTGGCATTGAGAGTGCCACAATATTAAGCAGGTGACTTTTCACATATACCAAGAAATGAAAGTTCAGAAGGCAGTTGGGACAAAATATGGAATTTTGGTACCTGGTCTTTTTTTCTGGTGGCATATCCTTTTTAAAAATGAGTGCTTGCTTGAAATATAACCTTTAAACCATAGTGTATAACACACAGATATAGTTGATAGTTTGTTCTCAAATATTGTCAAAGTTTATTTGAATTCTGGTGTCATAAATTATTTTGATTCCATATAATTCAAAGAAATTTATCTATTAGAGAAAAAATTATGGCAATCTTAGATCAAGAAAAAATGGCTGGAATATCAAATTATACCTTTTTCTTATAAACTCGGTACTTGGCTATCTGATGACAATTTAGCACTTCCTACTGTTTTGGTCTACATAATTTTCCTCATTTCACTCAATATATTTGCTAAACCAAAACTGTGAAGTGAGTAACAGAGAGCGGAAAGCATACCAAATAAATAGCAGATGCACAAGGGCATCTCTTGAATGAGAAAGCATTATTTTGGTTAAAAAACGAAATACATGGATTTCGTTGTTAGATAGTGAACCCTCAGGGCAAAATCCTGGTCTCAGCTCGTATTATGAAATACAGATGTTTCTTAGATTGAGCGAGTACATATGTGAATGGGCACAGAGGGTGCTATAAAGTGAGGGTGTGATGCATAGGCCTTGAACCATTAAGTGTGAATTCTAACACAGTTCTGTGATTTTAGCCAATCGCAGGGCAGAGGGACAGTAAGTGCAAAGATTCTATTAAAATACTGTAGAATATCTTAGACAAAGTCAAATGACTAGAAATTCCTTCTGTAATCTGGTTTGTCTTCTCTTTCTCTTTTCCTCACAATAGACATACATTTCTTGTGCGTTTTAGACATAATAGAAGCAATTTGTAGGTGACACTGAAAAGCACATTGTTCGAGACAGCCACATTACATAACCAAGCACATTCGTTTAATTTAATTTCAGATTCTGTAATAAATTTTAACTCCCCTGTGGCTAGCAGAATGAACTTCTTTCAATAAAAGAAGAGCATATAGTTCAATAGATGTGTCTAGAATATTTACATCAAAATGTATTAAAATTTAAAGTAAAAACAATATGAAAAATTTATGAAAGATATTTTATATGTGCATATACTTAGTATGTGTTAAAATGATATTCCACACAAGTACAGATTATCTTATAAATGCATACTGGGAGCTTGGGGAAGTGAATAAATATGAAGTTATTTATCTTCACACCATAAACAAATGCATTCTACCTGGATTAATGAGTGAGAATTAAAACCATAAGAACAGGAAGAAAAGCATAGAATAAAGGTGGAAAAGACCTTTTTTAACTATAAAAGCGAAGGTAGAGTGATACATTTGAACTTGTGATAATAATAAGAACTATTACAAGTTATAAGAAATGATAATTAGGAAATACTTCACAGATG